ACATATTTTGTCCAACAATGCTTGAATGTCTACATTGACACTGATGAATGTCTAGATATGTCGAGTAACTATCCTCAAACTAAATACAATATAATTTAATGCCAGGTGCAATAGAATTTGGTGCCAAAAATATTAAAATCCACATATTTTAAAACATACTTTATGTAATTTGGGTATTCAACAAATATGCAAAAGTGGGTTTAATCATTTGCAATAATAAAAATAATATTTTTATAAAATATTGTAAAATAGCAAACCTCTGATGCAACAAAATCCCAATTGTAGTAAAGAAGATGTGTAGTAAGAGTGCAAGGGATAGCGGGCAAGGCGTTGGTTGTATAGCCCTTGTATCAGCGTATTTCAAACAAGAAGCTGATGGTCCTTAGTATGCCCTAAAGGTTGGCTGTGGGCACTGAGATCGGTTAGAGCAGGAGCTTGCAAGGGAGAGTACACCAGCCAGCTCCTCCGCCTGTCGCCACCTTGGCGGGTAACCAGCCAGTCACATTCCCCCCCCCCCCTTTTTAGGTGAATATTCCACCTGAATTAAGAGGTGGGAGGGTACAGTAGGGCATGTCTTGACCAGAGTAATTGGCGAGAAGTGGAGTGTAGTCTGTTATCAGTAAGCAAGTATGGTTGAGGATGTGTCGAGTGGTTGCATTCCCACTTTTAATTAGTTCAATGTTAATATAGTAAATAGGCAAAGTATTCATAAATTCAGAACTAATGCTTAAATTGCTAAAGATAGAAGTATTATTTGAGTATTAAAAATCTAAGTGTAGAATGACAATCTTGAGTTTCGTAATTCCTTTTTATTGAGGTCCTATAGAATAATATCTTAAAGCAGTAATAATCACCACCCCTCACAAAAGTTAAGAGTAAAATATGTCGCCACGAACTGGCAGGAAGGTGTAAGTGACTGAGGGACGGGAGATGTGGCATCGCGAGGCAGGTGTCTTCCCTCATCTTGCCCCACCACAGGCTATGTGCAGGGTGTCCACTCAGTCCAGCAGGCAGTGTTTTCCTGTCACACTGCTTAGTAGATGTTAATATGGTTGAAAAATGACAGGATGGTGGCAGCATTTAGTATTAAGTATCTCTTTATATTTATCCTCCTACTCCTTTCCTTCTATCATCTCCCTTTCCGCCTCTACTTCAATCCTTTGTTTTCTATTCCCTTTCACTTCTCTACCTCAGTTCCTCCCTGAACCTCCCCCCCGTTTTCTATCCATTTCCCCTTTCCCTCCTTCCTTACTCTTTCTGTCTTACTTCTCACCATCAGAGAAGACACGTTCTGTTACAACAATTTTGCCTTTTCTGTCTATATTTGCCTATGTGCACAGAAGTATATATGTACACAGGTATAGTCAAAATATATTTAAAGTTACTAAATAAGGTTGAGACATCAAGTATTGTAATTATGAAAGGAAGGCACCAAGCGGGGAGAGATTATGTGCAAACCATGAGACTATGTAGCATCATCAGTGTTGCTGGATATTTAAAAAGTGCTAAATATCACTGAAGATGCCAATACAAGAACAAAAGCACACAAGACGAGCAATATTGAAGGTTATCAGATTCACTAAGGATTCCATCAAGGGACAAATGACCAAGAGGGACATTTGGGACACAAAAAATATGAACATCCTAAAAATCTAGATATTCTACAATGAGGTGCACAACTAAGAGGAACAAGGCAGTTCAGACAATAAGAAACTGGGTGGCATTCCATCAAGTGCCCATGAGTTATGCATGTATGTAACCAAGTCAGAGTCATTTCCCACTGCCAATTATGATGGTAGGACAGTCCACCCTTAAGAGCATGCAGTCTGTTTCCTGTAACACAAGAACAATGACCCTGCCAACTATCTCGGATCGACGAATGAATGACCAAGTAGAAATCTGGAGGAGGAATGCCTTTTCGGGAAATAGGACATGTGCGGATAGCCTCCATAGTGGCAGCATCTGCGCGCACACACACACATTTAATTAAGGTAATACCAATATGCCTGGGAACCCAGCAAAAGTTAAATGTCTTAGAGCTGCTAAAGATAAGCAACAGCCAATATTGGATTTTGATTCCTACAGGCAGCAAAGGATCGAACGACTCCTTAACCACAAGAGCACCGCAACCACAATGACAAGGGAGCATTGATGTCGGAAAAGCAGCTGAAGAGCATACAAAAAATAATACAGTTCTGCCATGAGGATCCTATACACCTGTTGATTGAGAGGCAGGACCATATATATTATATATATATATATATATATATATATATATATATATATATATATATATATATATATATATATATATATATATATATATATATATATATATATATATATATATATATATATATATATATATATATATATATATATATATATATATATATATATATATATATATATATATATATATATATATATATATATATATATATATATATATATATATATATATATATATATATATATATATATATATATATATATATAT